CGCCCTTCCCGCAGCCCCCATTGTCCTGGGATGGCGAACCGCGGCCAGTGGGAGCTGCGATCGGCAGAACCTGAGGACGCAGCAGGGGCTTTCCCTGGCGGGCCACGTGCCAAAGGTTGCCAATCCCTGATCTAGCAGCATCGGTCATGTTAGGGCCCTGTATGCTAGGTGCTGTACAAATCTAGGGAAAGAGACAGTCTCTGCTTAAAGAGCTAACAAACTAAAAGGCAAAAGTTACCTGCAAGCGAAGAAACCAAGTGGTGTGGGCCGCGGGAGGAGGAAGACAGGACAATAATTGTAGAGTAGGAAATTCTAGCATCAGTATTGGTAACTGTAGTAATCACAGTAATCACAACTTGCCCCCTGCCTTACCGTTATCAGATGGCTCTTCTGTATGCATCATGACAAAGGTGAGTGTCAGAATGTCAGAAGCATTTGAATGAGGATATGGGGGAGGCTTTATGTATTTGAAGGATTTTTTTTGTGTGGGTTTTTTTGTGTGTGCATGGGTTGTTTTTTTTTTGATGGAATAGCTTACAATAAAACACACAGGAACTTTTGGGCAAAGCAAACAGCAGGTATTCTGAGCTGTAACATTGAATAAGTTTTGTAGAATAAAGGAAAAAAATTGTCTAATGAGGGATAAAAAACAGTAGGGTGAGGAGGTACGTCATATTGAAGAAATCTTTTGGTTCTGAGAATTCTTCAAATTTTCTGTTCATAGCTTTTCTTAGTCATTAGTTTGTGTCTTTACATCGAGCTCGCTGAGAAGATGTTGGATTCATTTTCTTATAGCACATCCATCTACCTGAAACCAAACAGTGCTAGGAAAAAACATCCTATCTGGCCTCAGACCTTACAAAAAGGAGCAAATCAATAAGTCGGACTTTCCTGCCCTCGGTGTTAAATCAACCTGTTAGAGGCAATCTTGCACATGATCAGCTCTCCCAAACAATGTAGGCATTCCATCGTGGGATCTGATCAAGGTGTAAAGCATAGTGTCACTAAGGAGTAACCTTAACTACCTCTCTTCAAAGGTCCTACTCTCAGCCCTGTTCAAATTTAGATCAGAAGTGTGTCTGTGTAAAAACTGTTCCTGTCCTTTTCACCTACCTGTAATATTCAGTATTCATTGATAGCCTTGCCAGAGACAAGTCATGTTACAGAGACCATTCGTTGAACTCATTATTGAATAAAATCCTTGGGATACCAGGCAAAAAGCAAAAGTTATTGTAGTTGGGGTGACACAACGGTAGGTCAGATTTAATCGGTCTTTCAGATACTTTCTGCCTGACTGGTGTAACATCCATTCACATTTCCTGTAACTAGTGGGAATGTTTGCCAATGGCCATGAACAGCAGTGGTATGAGGAAAAAGTGGACCCCAAATTAAATGGAAAAGAATTGGCCATCTTTAAATATTTGGCGGGAATGTGTTGTACTGAAAGAGAAACAAATGTAGGGAGAAAAAGTATGACTCAAGAAATTAATGCAATGGAAATGTACTGTAGCAAAAGCTAGCCTGGACATTTTTTCTGTGAACTTCTGAGGGATGCTACCTTTTTATTTCTATATGATCAAATGTACTGAACTTCCCCACTGCATTTGTTGAAGCAAACTGGGATAGCGTGCTAGTGGTGCATTAAACAGGGTTTTTTTTTTTACCCTGTATTCAATAAAAAATGTAAGGTGGAGAAATGCCACTTTATTTCCAATTTTTTCCCCTCTTTTTTTCTTAAGAAGGTCAGCGAACTAGGAAATCAATATGAATGTTTAGTGTTGGACTGAACTACAATTGCACGTAAACCAAATAGAATTAAGAACAAGAAATAAAACTGACTGTTAACACTTCCAACAGAACTGTTGTTTTTCCCAATACAATTTTAAGTAAAGTTTAATAGTAATGATATTCACCTTTTAAAAGCACATTTCTAGCTTTGAAAAAGGTCTTTCAAGCCAAAACAGTCTCTCAGATACCATAATTCATTTCAATGGGCATGAATTCATCATTGGTTCTAAACTTGCGTACAGACACACATGGAGCCATACCCACTGCATTTGATTCTGCTCTCACTGTGCAAATCTGGAGTGAAATCAACGAAATTTGCTCTGGTGTAAAATGGTATGATGCCAGAATCAAACCAGTAAGTCTAGCTAAAGCTACTGTCATAGTACTGCATGTTTCTACTTAGCCACATGTGGTACTACTGTGGTTGATGCTTTCCTCATCTAGATTTTTGAAATGGATAATTAACTAATATATACCAAGGACAGATAAAGAGTACTCCTCATCAGGTTATTGTCAAGAATGTTTTCCCCACTAGGAACAGAGGAAGAGCTATGAGGAATGTGTATCTGAAAGATGCAGAAAATCACTAAACCATATATAATTTAATTATCCAATTTGTTTTAGCTCGATGTGAAATAAGCACAAAATTAACAGACATGTACATTAAAGTCTGAACTGTGCTTTGAGTTACCTGCTGTGAATGTGTGTGCACATGTGCATCTCTGAAAAGTTGTTTTCAGCAGCATTCCTTCTACCTGTTGCAGAAATGTTAACCAGAGTGTTCTCCAGGCTAACAGGCTGCAAAAGTGATTGGCCAGGAACCCAATCCATCTGGACTACTTTGTGGATTTTGATTGGTTTATGTTATTATCAAGGAAGAAAAATGTGAAGATGATCAATTCTCTGAGCCTTATGGAAGTTTTATTTTCCAGAATAGGAGATATAACACACTCCTTGGTTGGTGGACTAGAGTAGATAGGCTTCTTGGAAGACTGTATCTACAGGTTTGAGATTGCCATTGGTTGCCGGCCTTGTTCAAGCAGATTTGGAGTCTCTTGGGAAGCCATTTATTTGTGCTGTCTCCCTAGCTAGAATGCCTAAGATTCCATGTGTGATATCCTTCTGCTGCTCATCTGCCCCAGATTCTTGTATCAGCTGGGTATGAGGAGTGACTATAGAATTAGTATCATGTCCAGAATTGATGTGGGTCGGTTTATGGAGGGAATGATGGATGTAATACATGCAAGTTTCCTGTTAAACAACAGAGGTGAGTGAAAACTATGATACACATCATTGCGAACTGTGACAAAAGAGAAGATATCCTGACTTCCTGCAGTGCTTTAATTCTTATCATATGTCTGTTTTATAGGGCTGGTTGAAAATTTTTAAACAAGACATTTTCCTCCTTTTTTTTTTTAAGAGGGATTTGGTTGCAATCAAAATTTTCTGAGGAAAAGAACTGAGTTTGGTGGAATTTCCAATTGGAAAAATTGAAACAAATTGTTTCATTTCTGATCTACACATCAAAGTGAAACATTTTAGTTTGGGAATGTTGAAATGTTTGGTTTGACATTTCCAAATAAATTTTTTTCAGAACTTTTCATTCGGCAAAAAAAGGTGATATTTTGACGTTGTCCTGAATTGGGACAAAACACCACACCTCAAAATATCCATATTTTTTCATAGATGAGAAATTCCACTTTTTGATCAGCTTTAGCTGTTAATCAGCACAAAGCAGCTTACATTCCAGCAATATATTCTTGGAATATGAGGAATAAATATCACCTTAGCACTAGTAGCCCTGCAGGTCCAGATTTGGCAGCACTGTCTAAAACCATTTGGGCTGTGAAGTGGCATCATATTTCTTGTCAACCTAAAAGGAGCTGCTTTCATGGAGGTACCCCTTTTGTGTTGTATCCCATATAGGTTCGACCTATATGTGGTTTGAAATACTCATGTAATGAAAGCAGAATCAATCTAAAATCAATTAGACACCATGCGTTTTTTTTTTTAAATAAACAAAACACAGACATACCAATCCCAAAACATCCTATCAGGTGAAGCTTTGGATGACAGCATTAGTGGAAGCTGGAATTCCTGTTTGGATCCCACTGAGGATGTAAACTGGTTCTTTCTGGGGGCCCTCTTTTCTTTAACCATTAGCCAGGAAAGGGATCAATCCGCTGAAAAACTATTCAGTACAAAGGAGGTGGAGCAGCATTGGGAAAGAAAGTGACCTTTCCCTTGTCATGTGAAAACACTCTATTCCCATTTGTGCCTTTTATTCCTTACCCATTCTCACCATGGCTTGTATGAGCACTTGTACTAAACTAATGCCGTGACAGCAATAGCTATTTTAAATATGGTTGCAATTTCATTCCCCCAAATTTCCTCTGTTCTCTTTAATCTTTGATCATTACAGTCCCCAAATGGAGATTTTCGGTGAGCTGCAGTTTTTATGTTGCTGCTGTTTAGAATTAACTGGTCCGCTTCCTAAAAAGCCAAATGTTTAATCAATACATATCCTACTGTGTATAATAAATACATTTCTGCCATCACTTTTGAAGAGAGGATGCCATTTATTTGAGCCAAATAGTTTGCAAAATGGTAAAGGAGATGTTTTTTTTCATAGATATTTAACATGACAGGGCCAACAGGCAGATTAGAGCATAGAAACAGCATCTGAAATTCTAAGGGGAAAGTCTTTTACAGGAATTTGTTTATTTTGAACATTTGTTACATTAACGTTCATTCCAATTGTAATGATTGATTGATTTTGGACTCTCTTTGTTCTGTGGCTAATAATTTGACAACCTTTCAATAAACTGAGAATTTGGAGATTTGTTATTTTGATTTTGTTGTTGTTGTGTTTCCTTTTCTGATCTTTGGAAGAAAACTTACATTTTAAATCTGTAATAACACAGGCTGATTACTTCCCATCAACTCACTGGCTTCCAGGACAGAATTTTCAGGCTGGTTATTGTTTGCACTGCTCTGCTATAAAAGTACAGGGTCTGTAAATTAAAGTTGGACGGTAATAGTTTTTAATCTGCAATTTTATAGTCCTCTAATCCAATGGTCATGTTACATTTTAGGCTTTTTCTATATTGTCATCTTTTCTGGGGAAGGACGGTGGTTGGAAAGCTATTCTAGACACAGCAGAGAGTTAATATTTATTGATACACTTTATTATTTATTTATTATAATTCTAGATTAGAAATGGACAGCAATGTTGTTATACATTGAAGAATAAAGACCTGGAACTTGCTTCAAAAGGAGTAGTTTGCTTGGAGTTGGATGTCGTATTTAATCCAGTAAGTTTAAATGTTTTCACTTAACTCATCCACTCTGTAAGAAACTGGAATGCCTAAATTTGCTAGTGCCAAGGGGCTTGGTCTTTTAAACACAGGAACTGAATGGAGAAGGTCCTGACCTGGTTGCATCTGGAGGGAAGGTTGGGCTTTATTCTTTTTATAAAGAAATACTGGCAGATCACTATGCTGCAACATTCCATCCAAGTTGATGTGACAATGAAATGGCAACTTTGGGCTGGGGATGACCACAGATGTTTTGGGAAGAGGTGTGGGTTATTGCACGCAAGGGCTTAATTTGCAGTAACAAAAAAGGGAGTTAATATTTACATTACTATGCAGGAATTTTAACGACTAATTGTTCCCAGAAAGTTGACCCACAATATTCTATTCAGAGAGTGTTGACAGGAACAAAAACTCAGACATGGGTGTGGTGGTCTCAGATTGCTTGTGTCCCGCCATCTCTTACTGAATTAAATTCCATTTTACATTTGCTGTTGCTGGATGGAATGTAACTCACTTCTTACTAGCCACTTATTACAGTGATATAGGAAGCAAAGTTTTATTTATTTAAATGGTTGGTAGGTACTGTTTTGCCTTGTATGGAGTTTAGGTTTGGGATGTTGCTACAGAGAACAATGATCAACCCTCTTTGTCAAAGAACAAGCTCAAATATATTATGGCTCCCCTTTTCCGGAGGCTTTCAAAGCTGTTCCCAGGCCATTCCTGTTTTTCAGATAGACTGGAATCGATCTATTTAAGTATCTGTTAGCCATCACTGTAGTGTCTGGGAACCTCTTCGTAATCTTTAATTTATTGTACCCGCACAACACCGCAGTAAGATAGGAAGGTACTGTTTCCAATGTACAGATGGGATATTAAGGCCAGAGTAGGCTAGACCAAGGTCACACAAAAAGTTTGTGGCAGACCGAGTGCCCTATCTACTTGACCATTCTCCTGCCTATGGCTAAGATACTACTTTTTGTGGGCTAAATTATAATACCATTACTCATATTTGAGTAGCACCTTACTCCATGAGTCATCCCATTGATTTCAGTGGACCTATTACTAGAGTAAGGTAGTATTCAGCATGAATAAGTATATCACAAGCTGGTTTAAGTGGCTAAGGGCGTTACAGGAGCGTAAAATACTTCCGTCTGTTCTCGGATGTCCCTTCTAATACCTTAGCATTAAATATGCAGTATGAACAGGACATTTGGGGAAGTGATCTTCAGTTCCTGTCTCTTTTTTTAGAACTTTTCTGTATGGGGTTGATCCAACAGAGGAACAGAAGGGAGTATGCTGAGCTGTGTGCTGAGCTTAACCATGGAGCAGCTCACACCCTGCAGTCTGCCTCTCTATTGGAGTAACCTAGATGAGCCCCAGGATTGTGCAGAATAACTGATATGTACACCTAACACCTTGTCATAAACCATTTAGGGACTGAAACAAATAAATAAGTAAAGGACACCAGAGCTCCAAATCAATATGATGATACCAAATTTGAATGGTAACATTCTAAATAAATTATTCTTTCCTTAGGTAAAAGCAAGTATCAGAACCTTCAAGCCACGAGAAAAGCGCTTCATTGGAGACAACCGCAAGTTTTCAAAGAAGGTAGGCTGACTCTGGGCCGAGCTATCACCTCTGTTTGGAATGGCTTTTCAGTAGCCTCACTAGTACACCCAGATGATAGAACCTGTGGTCAAACTCTATTTATGTATGGAAACTTGGAACACAGATGTCAATTCTGTGTATGTTTTTTGCATGTGTATAAATGCTGATTTGCATTCACACACAGTTGCTTCCTGATCTAACTCGGTGGTGCTACATCTCCCCAATTTCTGGAGGGAAAAGAATGGCTTAATAAAGAACTTTTAACATATATGCATGTTGCACAGTTTATGGAATTTGAAACAAAAACCTATACTTTGGTTTCATCCCTGAAGAATAAAGAAAAACAATAAGATGATATAGAAATTTAATAAGGTTCTAAATCAATTACTATGAAAGTCTATAGTATTTAATTGAGACTAATATTCTTGCTATTTTTTAACCATCTGTAGCAAGAATATAATTTTTTATTCAATTCTATAGAGAGATAGCCCAAACCCCTAAGGGAAAGGGTTTCATTTTCTGTTAAATTCTGTAGGATTTTGCCATAAAGGTGTGTTTTTTGTTTTTTGGTGGTTTTTTTGGTGGAGGGGGGGAAAAAAGCTTCCATTCTTTTTCCTTCAGACTTGCAGATTTTGGGGGTGGGGGGAAGTGCTGAAATATTTGGGTGTCATACGAAAACACATAGTAGCTGGAGCGTGTCTGAAATAGAAGCTGTAGCATATGTACAAGCACAAAGGCAATTGTAGCTTAAAATTGTCACTGTTCCTGAAGTGAAGTAGGAAATTGGAGCATTTAATTAAATTCCTTTCTCTCCCCTCCCGTCCGACGTTTACCAGATCTTATCGAGAAATGTTGATCGTGTGAAAAAAATCACCATGGCGATATGGAATACAATACAATTCCTAAGGAGCTGCTTTCTCTGGGAATCTACACTAAGGAGTGTGGTAGCATTTGTGGTAAGTGGATTTATTCATATTCCATCAGACTAACTGATATGAGGCATTGAGTCTTACAGCACCTTCTCTCCTCCCCCTCACCCCCCCAGCTTAAACTCTCTTGTTGTTGGTTGGTGTTACTATTATTGTCCTTCAGTTTTATTATTTAAAACACTGTTGTGCCCACAAGTCCCAAGCTTGATCAGGCTCTCCTTGTGCTGAATGCAAGATGAACACCACGGCAGTCCTTCTAGAACAATCTCTCCCATATTTTCACCTGTTGCAGAGGCCTTCTGCACAACAAAGCCCCTTCTGAGACCTTGTATGGAGGAGCTATGTGGGCCCAAAGGCAGCACTGGGGGCCTCCGAAGTCTGTGCACATAAGGATTGGATGGGCTGCACTGGCTCTCAATAGGTTTACACAGAGAAGAGTGTCACGACCAAGGACCTAGTGGTCTAGAATCCCCACAAAGGGCTTACAGAAGGTCATATTGGCTGGACTTGCGATAATGGAATGGCGGCAGCCCTGTGACTTACCTTTGGCTTGTTGTGCTGCTGATAAAGCACTGGAAGAACGAGTCTATAGGCAACAATCCTTTATTGATGGGACAGGATGAACTAATAGGTCTTTTCCGTTCCAATTTTAATTTCAATGAGATTGCATTTTTCTGTAGTTCAGCAATGCTTGCCACACCTGTTAGTTGAGGGCGTGCCACTTGTCCGACTGCATACAAGCAGCTCTATGCTGACATTAATTGTCTCTTGTAAATCTGCCCATTGACTGTAATAACTATATATATATAAAAAAATTATGGTCAGCAAGTCCTGGTGTGGTCTGAGAACTAACAGCCAAGTTCTCCACCTATCTGGCCCACTTTTCAGCTGCATTCTTTTTTTCCTCTTTGTAGTAAACACCCTTTTTTCAGCTTTCTCATCCACTCAAGCAGAAAGAGGTTTCTCCTCCTTTTTATTCAGCAGTGTGGCATTTTCTTCATGCTTGAAATGTCTGGCATGCCATTAAAGGTTGCAAAATTGTTTTGTGGTGGTCCAGAGGGAAAAAAAAGTTTTTGAGTTAAGTGTTTATTAAACCAAATAACAGCCACATCTCCAAGTGTTTGCCTCCCTTTTTGTCTTTGAATTATAAGTTGCTTTAGGGTTCTTTTGATGAAAACACTTCACAGTGTATTTGCACAGATGAGTAAAGTGAGCTGTCGCTGCTTGAAAGATTCACAGAGTAAAGACAGAGAAGCTGTCTTTCACCGTGCAGGTTGAGAGGGATCTGGCAGGCACAGTTGAGGAGGAAGAGAGGGTTTTTGTTTTTGTTTTTGTTTTTTACTTGCGTTGATAATATACACAGTTGACTCTAATGGATCAAGAGCTTGAAAGGGTGACGATTAGTGTTTTCCAGTCCATTCTCCAATTGAGATACTAATTGATATACCTTTCCCTGTGATGTACACAGATATACTGAACCCCAAGCGGAAGAAGGCTCAGTTAATTTTAGTTCTTTCCTCTAGAACATGAAATTCTGGGTTCCTTGGACGATCTGCCACTCTTATGCTTGAGTGTGCATGTGTAATCGCTGTGGTTCCCGAGACCCGTGTGTGTATATTCCGAATGTGAAGGGTAAAATGGGACTCTTAGTTGAAGCAGGTATGTGTGAGTGCACTGGTGGAACTGCATGTTTGTACGTACTGAAAATGGAAAGAAGGTGAACATACAGGGTGCCAAGTGCCCTGATTCAGCAAGTTACTTGAGCACATACTTAAAGTTAGGCATATGGTTAAGTAGCTCGCTGAATCTGGCCAAAAACAAACATGGAGATGTGTCTGTCTCTAGGCTGTGGAGAAATATAACAATGTTAGCAAGTGACGGAAACTGAAATATAAGGAAAAAATGGCAAGTGTAGGGAGACGGAAAGTGGGAAAGTGTGTCTAGGACCAAGGAGCTATAGGTGATGGTCCAAGATGCATCTAGAGAAGGAAAAATGGGATCAGAGGGTGAAAAGGACAATTTTCCAAATTTCTCTTTCTACTGCGTGTCGTAGATGCTTTCCCCATAGAACTAATGTTGTGTGATGATATGTCATTGTGGGGGTGGGTGGGAAATGACTGTACAATGTTAAGATAATAGAGAGTAACTTTCCTCTGGAAAAAAATTTTAAACCTAGCTGATTCAGCATTAGTGTTAATTATGCCCCCTTCACTATGAATATTTCCAGTGTCTCTGTTAATAGTTTTAAAAGTGCCTTTGCCGTAGTCTCGGTGCAAAATGAAAACTGTGCGTACAGTTCATACGCAGCAGGTCAAAAATGACTACAAACAACGCCTCTAACCTGCCTAGAAACTTTTGCTCTTCCTCCAACTTTTTCAACCACTCTTTTCCCGAGCCCTTGGAAAAGCAAGGGAAAACAGAGTTTTGGAGTACCCATTGGGTGTTCTTACCTACTCATTGACCAAATGAAAGGTGAACTAAAACCATAAAAAAAACCCCCAATCCTCCCAAAAGCAGCCCAGTTTCAGCTCAGCCTGTTCCACAGGTCTTTTATTATGTGGCCATTCTGACATTAACAGCAGGAGAGGAGTCTCAGATCCCCAAGACATCTCTTGAACCTTTCTTCTTGGTTCTATGCATAATTGGAAGTACAAGAGTTAATTTACTTCATTCAACCACAGTTGCTGAGGGATGGTACTGTGAATGGCATATATATTTTTAAAACTGTTCGTGCATGATTGTCAGGGCTTAGAATATGGCCAGAAACACAGGAAAGCTCCACGCCTTCCTGCTCTGGGCTGTGTGCTGCTCTCACACCTCCATTACTGTGTACCGGGAATGTTTTCCCATCAATGTTGACAGGGTTGTGAGTTTGACAAGAGTATTTACTACTTCTGCTGGAGGCACATCAGAGAAAGAGAGATGGACAGAACCACAGAGAGAGAGAGAGAGGAGGTCACGTGGGACCATAGGAGAATCCGAAGAGTGCTATCTCCTTTTGCATCAATCTATAGGGTAAAATACTCCCAAGTTAAATCTCAGTGCTTGTTTCCTCTCCCCATGGTGGAATATAAATAACATGTGAGTAGATTTCACATGCATACACACACCAACTAAAAAGTGAAAGCAAATTCCTCATCAGCACTCAATCTGTTTAGAGTAATAGAATCATAGGGTTAGAAGGGACCACAACAGTCATCTAGTCTAACCCCCTGCCAAGAGGCAGGATTTATTGTGTCTAAACCATCCAAAATGGATGGCTCCAACCTCCTTTTGAAAACCTCCAGTGAAGAAGCTTCCACAACCTCCGGAGGCAGTCTGCTCCATTGTCCTACTGGTCTGACTGTTAGGAAGTTTTTCCTGAGATTTAACCTAAATCTGCTGTGCTGTAGTTTGAACCCATTGCCTCTTGTCCTGCGCGCTGTGGTGAGAAAACAACTTTTCTCTCTTTTTTATGGCAGCCTTTCAAGTATCTGAAGACCACGATCATGTCCCTCCTTAATCTCCTCTTTTCCAAACTAAACATACCCAGTTCCTTCAGCCTTTGCGTATGTGGCTTACATTCCATCCCTTTGATCATTTTTGTTACTCATCTCTGGATCCTTTCCAGTTTCTTTACATCCTTTCCATATGTTGGTGACCAAAACTGGACATAGTACTCCCGCTGAGGCCTAACCAGTGCCGAGTACGGTGGTACCGTCACCTCCCATGACTTACATGCTATGCCTCTGTTAATGAAACATAAAATTGCATTTGTGCTTTTTTTTTTTTTTGCAACAGCATTGCATTGCTGAGTTATGTTGATATTCTCCCAGATCCTTCTCAGCAGTGCTTCTGCCAAGCCAGTTTTCCCCTAATCTGTATTTGTGCATTTGGTTTTCTTCCCTAAGTGTAGCACCTTACATTTCCCTTTGTTGAAATTCATTTTGTTGCGTATAGCCCAGTTCTCCAATTTATCAAGATCCCTCTGAATTTTAGCTCTATCCAAAGTATTGGCAGCCCCCTCTAGCTTTGTGTCATCTGCAAACTGGATTATTATGCTCTCTGTATGTACATCCAGATCATTAATAAGATGTTAAATAGCAGCAGACCCAGAACAGATTTCTGGGGAACCCCACTTGAGACTCCCTCCAGTCCAACATAATTCCAATAATAGTTTAAACTGATGACTTGTGACTGTCTGTGACTGGGTTCCCTCACCGCTCGCGGCACCTACTCCTGGCCATCCTGCGGATCAGTTCTGCCAGGCGCTTCACCCTCCTCAGCAGTCTCTCTATCCATCATCTTCTCTGTCTATAGCCTCTCCCTCCCTCTTGGAGCGGCAGCCAGGTCACTAAGTTCCTCCCCTTCCAGGGAAATCACAGTCCTTCTGGACCAGCTGTTTGGCTGGCATCTCCAATACCCTGTGCAACTACCCAGTGGCTTGGAGGGGAACCCAGGCTTGCCCTCTACACTGGGTTCCAGCCCAGGGACCCTATAACATTCAGTCAACTGTCTTAGTCTTTGCTGCTGTTTCCCTGGGCTTCTTCCGACATCACTGTCTCCCCCCTCTCTGAGTACACCAGCTTCCCAACTCCCTCCTCTCAGGGAGTAACTGCAGCTTGCCTTTCCTGCAGTCCTCCTTGCTACATGCAGCTCCTGAGCTTTATACAGGCCCCTTCTCCTCCAGCCCAGCTGCGACTGCCTCCAATTAGTGGTCGTCTTCTCGCCTATCTCTCTCCCATACTGGCTGCTTATTTGGTCAATTAGGCTTGCCTGGCCTAATTTACCCTCTCAGTGGCCAGTGTGGGGAATATACCCCATCACACTATCTCTGCAGTCATTTGCACAGACACTAGGGTGAGTACTGTTTGGGATTACATAGGTGTTACGTGAAATCAGAATTTAGTCAGTTGACTTTTGGTGTGTGGAAGGTGAGGGGAAAGGTGAAGTTTCAATGACCAAATGAATTTAACTCGGTGGAATTCACCCTTGTGCATAGGGCCAGTACAAGGTCTGTGTACCACTTATGTGCTCAAAACAAGGTG